GGGGTGAGATACCTGACCTAGGGCTGCCCGGATTTGGTGAGCTGTCTGCCCTAACTGCTCGTCCGTACACACAATACGCGTGTATCAGATGTAGCCGTCGCCACTATCGCCTACACCAATACCCTTTGGACACGTGTCCTCCTGCACATGGGGTAAGCTGTCAGAGGTGGTTATTGCTATCAACCACTGCATTCTCGACACGTATCCCCCTACACATGGGGTAAATATTCTCCTGAAATTCGGTTAGAGGCTCTCTCACGCGCCTGTGACTAGGCCGATCAGTGTAGTGTTAAGTCCTCAGAGTGTTCGACCTGTCGAGGCCGACTGAACTGCTCGATCATTCATCTGGTCGAAGGATAGTTTGGTTGAAAACTTTGTTGGTCGACTGGTTAACTGCTCGATTTCCTCGACTTCCTCATAATACGACTTCCTCGACCGGTCAGTAGACCGGTTTAGCCTTGTGGGTATAATATCCTATATCATTGTGTGTCGGGCTCCAGAACCGTCAATATACTCATCGACCTCGTCGTCGTCCCTGAAAGATTGTCCAGGTCTACTAATACCCTAAATCACCAATTTAAAATAATAATTAGTAAATATAATTGTTTTTTAAAATTTTGTAAATATTTTTTTAGATTAAAATTTTCAAGTCAAATTTTAAATTAATGATAAAGATTAATTAATTTAATTATAATAACATCTTAAGTTAATATTAATAATTATTAATCAATTTCAAATTTAATAAATATTGTAATAACTATTATAATAGTAATGAACTAATTTTATAATATTCACTAATTTTTTATAATTATATAAACAATATTTTATTATTAATTTCTTTTTATAATTTTTTCTTTATTAATATAATATTTTTCTTTTATATTATGATTATTATTATTATAGTAATATTTTTTTATAATATTTAATAATTTAAGATTATTATGATATTTTTTAATCAAATAAATTATTTATTTTTTATTTATTACTAATATAATATTAATTAATGTAATATAATTATATTAATTAACATAATTATTTAATTTTTTATTTAACAATATTTATTTTTTTAAAATTTTTATTATAATATTTACTAATATAATTATTTTTATTATTTATTTATTTATTTATTCCAAAACGATAGAGATACTATATTAATAAAACCGCACAACGTGCAAAGAGAAAGCAACCAAAGGCTGAATAGAACAACCAAAGACTGAAAAAACTGGGAGGCAGATCCAAAGATCGCCTAAAGCCTGACCTAGCAACGCTAGAATAACAAAGCTTACAAACTACACCAACTAACAACACCGACAAAAACTAAAAATTAAACAAGACTCCCAACAGGAAATACCTGAGTGTCGGCTCCCAACAGGAGAATAAATTTGACACTCAGGCGCACAGAGGCCAAATGGCCAAACCAAAAAACACAAGACCCAAAAACAACACTAACACAAACGAGACACAAACAAAAAAACTAAATAGATACTAAATAGAATATGGCCTTCCCCAGCCAACACACGAACCCAAAACCAGTAGAGAAACAGTCGGTCCAAGAAGATCCCAAGCCCGAGGAACTGCTATCGAAACTGCGAGACCGCCTATACAGCAACCGAACCCGAACTCTGAAATCAACTCAACTCAACCCACCATCAACCGAGAGAACAAGACTCGATCCCAACACCAGCACAACCCAACACGCCTATCACCACTAGCCGCAATCGGGAGCACCGGACCCCACCTTCCCCAACACCAGACGACTGGTGGGGTGAGAGCAGCAATGCCCTACAATCCCAGCAACCGCAACACCGGGTGTCGCAGCCACCAGGGCCCCGTTCTGTCCACCGGCATTCGCACTACCCAATCTCACCACAACCCGCCGGGAAATGGACCCCCGCACATCCACCAGAGGCTCCAACATCAGAGTTGACCGGAGGTCCTCGAACGCGAAACGAGAGGGAGATCGAGATGCTGAACCCCTCCAATCGGAGACCGGACGGTGGAGAACGACCATCAGACTCAGGTCGAGGGCCCACCACCCCAATCGGGGTCTCGATGACTGCCGAGGGCATCGAAGGCAGCGAATCCATCGCCAACAACTGCAGCGAGAGGGGGAAGGTGCGAAGCCCGTGACGGAACGGGCGGTCGATGGTGACCACCGGCTCGAGCCTCGCCGTGGACGAGGAGGCCGGAGCTGCGCAAATCGACTTCTGTAAGAGAGAGGAAAAGGGCTTCGACGAGAGGAAAATGGTTTATTATTCCATTATTTATTTATTACTATATTATAAAATAAAAAAATAATAAAATTATGTCTGGCCGGCTCGTGACCGGCGGGGGGGCCGGTTTTTTTCTCGTTCGTCCTGCTCCCATAAACGTACGAGTAGCGCGGCGTTCGGTCGGGTC